AAAGGGTCCATTCTATGGTAAAGAAAACAACAATTCATACAATTTAGATGAAACACACCAGTGAAAAAATCCCTAGGATTATTTTATATTCAATTACTCTCACCTAAATCTTACACACTGAACCTTTAAGGCCATGACGAAATGGTTGTCACACCACTTCAAAAGTCTATTTATTTAGCCAACAGATGATAATGAAACTTCAAACATCTGGAGCAAGAGCCGTCTATTGGATCAGTGGTGTAGGGTGTGTGTGGGGGGTCTGGGCCAAAATGCCAGGGCCGATTTTTTTGTCCCATTCCAGCCCTGTCAACAGATATCTATGCTGTTTAACCAAGTAGTATAACACAGTCTATCATGTATATTCTAACATTTCCTGTAGGACCATATGATTTTGGAGGAGTTCTCACAAATACAAACCGAGATGTGGTGAATGGAGAGACCATGCAGAAGAGGAATCAGCTCCAGAAAGAAATGCACTGGTGAGATAATACCTGTACAATGTTGATCATTAGTCTTTCGGCCTGATTAATCTTGTATCATGTCAGGAAATCTTTGTTTGTTTTTAGGAAAAATTCAAATGAATTCAATTCAGGTTTTTGAAATATTTCATATAATGCAATGAAAGCTGTAAGAGGTTATTGAAGCTTTGAAAGTGCACCCTACAAATCCTGAAACATCCACATTGCGGAACCAATGTTTTACTGTTGCATCTTATGAGTAATGACAAATAAGAATCTATCTGATTCGAGTTTTATGTTCTGAGTGCTGTCCACTCTTTACAAGCTTTGCAACTTTGTACACATAAAACAACTTAGAAAACAACTGATTAAAAATCCATCCATCCAAATTCTGCATTGCAGAAGGTCATACATTAACTTCTTGTGATAAAAATGTATGTTCCTCATAGTGACATGTTTATAATGTTGCAGCCTTCATCCAGGGGATTTATTCCCTTTTACCCGGAAGCCACTTTTTGTCATTGTGGATTCTTCAAATAGCACAGCCTACAAGGTATGTAAATAGGTTAAGTAATGTGGAAAGCAACTGCAGTTTAGACTGTAAATATTTAGACAGTTACTCTCATGCATTTGTTCTTCACACTCTGAGCTATAGCACATTCAATTTGAAATTAAAATGGCACACAGTAGAGGGCATAACTTTGTCAAGGGCCAACAGTTTACTTAAATTCACACTAACAGATGTCAGCCCAGACTTTTTACATCAAGAGCCATGTATGGGAAAATGTAAAAGAGAAACCAGATCCATGCCAGAATTTAATGGGTTCATTCTTGGCCCATGTCCCATTCCTCCACCAAATTTTGTGGAAATCTGTTCAATAGTTTTTGCATAGTGCAGCAGCAAGAACTTCTCCTTGCCAGACTTAATGAAAAGCATTGGAGGAGTGATGCATACCATGCAAGTGGATTATATTAATTCAAGTGCCAACTCTTATGATGCAATAATGACATTATATTGTGAAATCAGCACAATATAATTTATACCTCATGATGACGTATGATTGGTTAATCTAACTTAACTGTAGATCATGTCTCTAATCCTTTTGACTTCATAGTGATGTGACTTTTTTGCAACTTTGGCATGACATCACTGCAACATTTCCAATTAATTACATAGACTCTGACTGACTGCCATGGCCTAATTTGTCTCAACAAATTATTGATACAAAATTTAGTTACGCAGTGTTTTCTTCAATATTTTACTTGAAGTCGAATGTGCTGAGGCAGAGAGCCTGAATAACAAAAAGTCGAACTGACAAAATATTGTGCATGATATGATCACATCATGAATTCATATTTTGTAATTAACATAAACTTTTCTATCCTTTGTCCTGATAGAATTTCACAAATCTGTTTGGCCAGCCTCTGGTGTGCCTGCTATCACCTATGGTATATCCCAAAAGTGTACAAGGTGTGTTACTCTAGACTAACAGTTCATT